GAGGACGATCTGCGCTTCGAGATCTTCTTCAAGCGGCGCCTGATGAACCTGATGTACGATTTAGAGGAGGAGGGCTTGGACTGGGACCTGATGTAAGTGGCCAAAAGCAGCGTGGGGTTGTGGCTGGGGACCCCAGAGTGGCGGGGAGGGTTCCCCCGTCGGCTGTGGGCCGTTCCTCACCTGGGCCGCGTCCTGCAGTTACATCGGGAGGAAGAGGATGCAGGTGGAGCATCCCGAGAAGTCGGTGCCGCACGTGAGGAATTTGGTGGAGGCCGATTATTCCTACTGGACTTTGGCCTACGTCGTTTCGCTGCGGGGAGCTCGCAAGCTGCTGGCGGCCGAGCCGCTCTCCAAAATGCTGCCTGTCGATGAGTTTCTTCCCGTCATGTTCAACAAACATCCCGTGTGAGTCTGAGCTGAGGCACGGCAGGCGCTGGGGGGGATCTGCGCGGAGAACAGCGCCGTCCCCTGGGGGTGCCCCACGTCGGGGATGGGGGGTGGGGTGGTTTTGGGGTCCCTTCCAACACAGCTGTGCTGTGATCCTGTGGTTCTGTGATCTTCGAGGACCCATCCAAAGCAAACGCTTGCTATTCTGGGGTTCTGTGATCTTGAAGGACCTTTCCAACCCAACCCAGCCTATGGTTCTGTGATCTTTTAGGTCCTTTCATCACTCTGTGATCCTGAAGGTCCCCTTCAACTCAACCATTCTGTGCTTCCATGACCTTTAAGGTCCTTTCCAACCTGATCTGTCCCATGGTTCTGTGACCTTGAAGGACCCTTCCAACTCATTTTGTTGTTCTGTGATCTTTAAGGACCCTTCCACAACTTGAACTCATTCTTTGTTTCCATGATCTCTAAGATCCCTTCCAACCCAACCCACTGAATTTTTCCATGATGTTTAAGATCCTTCCAATCCAACCCATTCAATGTTTCCATGATCTTTAAAATCCTTCCAACTCAACCCATTCTCTGGTTCCATGATTTTTAAGATCCCTCCCAACCCATTCAATGTTTCCATGATCTCTAAGATCCTTCCAACCCAACCCATTCTGGGATTCCATGATCTCTAAGATCCCTTCCAATCCAACCCACTCAATGTTTCCATGATCTTTAAGATCCCTCTCAATCCAACCCATTCAGTTTTTCCGTGATCATTAAAATCCTTCCAACCCAACCCATTCTGGGATTCCATGTGGTTCCATGATCTTTAAGATCCCTCCCAACCCATTCAATGTTTCTGTGATCTTTAAGATCCTTTCCAACCCAACCCATTCTGGGATTCCATGATCTTTAAAATCCTTCCAATGCAACCCGTTCTGTGGTTCCATGATCTTTAAGATCCCTCCCAATCCACTCAATGTGTCCATGATCTTTAAGATCCCTCTCAATCCAACCCATTCAGTTTTTCCATGATCTTTAATATCCTTCCAATCCAACCCATTCTGGGATTCCATGATCTTTAAAATCCTTCCAACCCAACCCATTCTCTGGTTCCATGATTTTTAAGATCCCCTCCCAACCCACTCAATGTTTCCATGGTCTTTAAGATCCCTCCCAACCCATCCCATGTTTCTCCAAAGGAACAACAGCCCACACCCGCTCACTTTCCTCCTTTCTGCCCCCAGCTCCGACTACATGAAGCACTTCAAGAACCGCAACCTGCTGGCCTTTTCTGTGGAGCCGCTGCTGGTTTATCCCACCCACTACACCGGCGACGACGGCTACATCAGCGACACGGAGACGTCGGTGGTGTGGGACAACGAGAAGATCAAGACGGACTGGGATCGGGCCAAGTCCCAGAAGATGAAAGAGCAGCAGGAGCTGCGCCGAGAGGCCAAGAACTCGGACGTGCTGCAGTCCCCCCTTGACAGCACGGCAAGGGATGAGCTATGACCTCCATGTCACCTCCATGTGGGGCTTTTGTCATCTCCATGTGGGGCCTCGGCCAACATTTCAGCTTTGGTCACCATTTGGGGCCTTGGCTGCCATTTTGGGGCTTGGCGAGAGCCGCCATTTTGAGGCTTTGGCTGCCATTTTGGGGTCCTGGCCAAACCTCTTTTGGGGCTTTAGCCAACATTTCACTTTTCATCACCATCTGGGGCCTTGGCCGCCATTTTGGGGCTTGGTAAGAGCCACCATTTTGAGGCTTTGGTTGACACTTTGGGGCCTCGGCCATCATTTCACCTTCAGTCACCGTTTGGGGCCTTGGCTGCCAATATGGGGCTTGGCGAGAGCCGCCATTTTGAGGCTTTGGCTGCCATTTTGGGGCCCTGGCCAAACCTCTTTTGGGGCTTTAGCCAACATTTCACTTTTCATCGCCATCTGGGGCCTTGGCTGCTATTTTGGGGCTTGGCAGGAGCCGCCATTTTGGGGCCTTGGTTGACATTTTGGGGTCTTGGCCAAACTTCTTTCAGGGCTTTAGTCCACATTTCACCTTCGGTCACCATTTGGGGCCTGGGCCGCCATTTTGGGCCTTGTCCAAAGCTTTTTCAGGGCCTCGTTCACTTTCAGTTTGGCTCCTTTGGGCCTTGGCCGCCATCTTGGGCCGTGAGCAGCAGGCAGGGCTCACAGTGCTCCTGGGCCGAGGCCCTGCTGCGTTGTCAACCAAAGCTCTGCGGTTGTTCCGTTTAGTTTGGGTTGGTTTTTTTTAAGGAAAAAAAAAAAAAAAAAAAAAGTTATTTTGGAAACGGATCGTCCTTACGGCAAGCGGGCCTGCGGTCAGAGGGCCAGGCCTGAAGCCACAGCTGCACTGCGCATGCGCGAGCTCCATCAGAGCAGCTGAGCGGCGCATGCGCGGGTCCCCTTAGAGCGGCTAATCTGCGCATGCGCAGGTCCCTTTAGCGCGGCTTGCTGGCACATGCGCTCAGTCCCTCTTAGAGCGGCCGGTCGGCGCATGCGCACCCAGCGCCCCCGTGGCATGCTGAGGGTCGGGCATGACGGCCATTTTGAGAGCGGGGCATGCTGGGAAATGTAGTTCTGCGTGCAACCCCGCCCCCCTCCCCGCCAAAATTTAACAACGGGG